GATGAGGGTTCTAAATGCATGATCTTCCGGGGTTTTAGCAAATTAGGCATTGATATGTACTGTCTCTTAGTATTTCAACAGTACGACGCTTCAAAATTCAATATGCTTGAACTATTTGACTATATTTGCACGTCGATCGTATTTCCTAACAAATGATGACTACCAGGAGTCAAAATAAAATGTTTTTTGCATGTTATTTAGCTATCTCACTTGCATTAGGCCAGGACTGCGAGAACAGGTAAACATCGCGATAAGCGTTTGCTCTCAAATGCAAGTGATTAATCAAAGAAATTAGGTTTCTAAGAAGGTCGGTAGATATTTAGCCTTGCAAAAATACCGTTGCTATTTTTTCAGTTATTTATTACTATTTCCTACTAACCATGTCCAATGTCAGTTTCCTAGTGAAAGATATTTCAAAGTTTATACTTCTGTTTTTGTCTAAGAAGCATATTTTATATTTAAATTTTTGTTGTAACTCAAAATTAATTTTATTTTAAAAATCTAAATTGCTCTATTGAATTTTTTGCATTTAACAATGACTTTTCTTTATTAAAAATATATTAATTTATAAATAATTGCTGTTAGCTGACGTCAGTCATTGTTTATTCATTTTGAGGCCATCAATTCTATTACGATCTTTGGGATACTTATGTTCTCTCTTAGTGAAAGTGTCATCTGCACACGTATATCTGTTTAATCGAAATAAAACACCCACACAAGCTATAAACTTCATTTAAAAATAAAATTTTATAGTAACTAATGAACACCAGTTCGTGTAACAGCCAAGGAAAGGGTGGCCAAGCGGTCATCATTAGTAAGATGAATAAAACTTGTATTCGGAAGACCTAATGAAACGCGATAATTGCAAGAAAACGCCAAATCTTAGCCACATTAGTCGATATTTTGTGGGCTAATGGCAGGAAATTTGGGAAGGATATTTACAGTTTCCTTAACTCAAAATAATCTGAATAAAATTTTGCCGAATCCAATAATGAAACATGGCAAAATAATTTAAGCGTTAGTGAGCTTATTAAACTCTAGTTAGCTATTTGAGCTTTTGCGAGGTGCGCGAAAGACACGCCTCCACATGGTGCACCCTAGAGAACTTAAACACAGAGAGCAAAAAAAGCCCATGAACTGACTGTTGACTTCTGAATTCAAACTAAATTGACCCGACTGTATGTCATACCCTACCAATTTCACAGTACTCACCTCACCTTACCTTTCTCTCTACCTTTGTGACTGTCTCTCTTTTACATCTGTAAATCACTGTTCAGTCCCTTCTCTCGAATTTTTCCAATTTAGACGTTTCCCACCTCTATGAAGCCCGAGGTCAACAAAGTGGCTAATGGTAACTGTCGTAAAGCCTTCTATTTGATAGGAATAAATGAATGAAAATATTTATATTAATTCGTTAATCAAGGCCTAAAAGTCAGTGAGCCAGTCAGTGACGCCTGAGCATCGTGAGACGGAAGTCATCCGCCAGATAAGGAAGAACAGTGATATTTAAATTTTAATATTGTAAATGAAGTGCTGCGTCGTTAGAATAAAATTTAAATTTTGCATCACAGATGCAGATTACTGCTTAAATTAACAAATGAAACAATTAGCTTAGCATGAATAATAACCACATTAGCTTGCACCATAGATTAATATAGTTAAAATAGCCAATCCGATATTAATGTAATTAGCATAATATAATTTTGATGTAAATGTTATTTCTGAAATCAAATCACAGACAAAATTTCGACACTTTGAATCTCAACGTAGCTCTTAAACCTTCATCGGAAAACTTTTGAAAATCGTTTTCATAAATTTTTCCCACAAAAAGCATTGATCGTTGTCCAAATCGTGAATAAATGTTTTGCAAGAAGAATATTTTAAAAATTAAAATGAAATTCCAAACTCAAGTTAAAAAACAGCGTTAATACAAAATAACCGTACCTGCTTATAACCTATTAAGTCTTGGCTATTTTTGTTCTTCCTACAAGCAATTTGGAGAACAAGCTTTGACACGGCAAACCAAATTACAATTAATTTGTTAAATTGTGAATTCGTATTCAATTTAAATTTTTTTATTTTAAGTTGTAAAATACATCCTGCATGTTCACATTATTTTGAATTATAATTTATGCGTATTACTGTAAATAACGGAGTTAATTAAAAATTGCATTTCGAAAGTGTCATATTTTGTAAATATTGAGATACGTTTATTTCATTTTGAATGATTTATGAACCGATGGTTAATGATCACTTTTCCAAGTCATTTTATATTTCAGTGATAGTTCTTAAAGTTTGTGTTAATTTTATGGGAAGATGTCCCCGGAACAAATTTTGAAAAAAAAGTCTTATTCCAGTTCTTTAATTATTAACTAATGCAGGTTGACGAACGAGTTTCGAATACGAAGCCGCTGACATGCTGCTGAAAATCACTCGTGAAATACAGCATGCACCTTAAGTGGTATGTTTACAATGTTACACACTCTGCTCGCTTTCAGAGGCATGGTTGGGTAGGTGAATTGGATCGACAAAATCAGCTAGTTGACCATTCAACAGCCTTCCAAGAGTCAAATTTATTTGCTTTCCTTACTGAACTACGTTTATTAAGAGAATGGGAATAATTCTTCGTTGGTTGTTTCCCTTCTTCACATGATTGCTCATATGCAAACTAGGCAAAGGATTGTTTTAATTACGCGATTCTCGTTTTACATATTACTGGTTGATTCAAATTGCCCACTAAAAACCCTTCTTAAAAGAAGAACTAGGAAATTCGTAAAATCTTACATTGTATATATTTCTGGTCTTAGAGTGGTGAAGTTAGAGCGGCTGTAATTTAGATCAGAATACAGTTGTACAAAATCTTTGGGAATTGCAAATTCATAAGCTGCGAATCCCAAATAGGGGAGTTAATAATTAAAGACCGTCAATTAATGCCAAGACGCCAAATCACATATTTGCCTTGGTCTCTGAAAAAACTCACAAGCTTCAACTCTCAAGCTCACACCTGGATGACACTGTTCCCCCCTCGTGTGTTATGAGCATATTCAATTGGGTCACCTAGCAATAAATTGCCGACATCATCCAATTACCCAAAATTCCTCTTTCGAAACTCCAGTTGGTGAAAGCGATGAGATTTGAATTGCAAATTCTAATTTAATTTTATATATACATTTTTAAAAAAAGCGTCGAAACTTTGCACTTTTGGAATTCGGGAAATAATAATGATTTGGCTGTCGGAAATCTGTCTCACTTGTTATTATAAACCGAATTTCTATGCTTGTTTTGTGGCAAACAAGTTTTTTCGGTAAACGTTTTGCCAGATAAAATATACATGGTACAATTTCGTTATTTAAAAATCTTTGCGGATAAAGTTCCTTATTTTAATACATCATTTTTATCTATTACAAGCAGGTTTGGTAACATTTTAGAACAACTCGATGGATATTTAAAGTAGTCACTGATGAAACCAAGTTTACATAAAATAGATGGACCCCCACTCAAGGTTACCGTAAATCGCTCAGAATTTTAAATCGAATCAGGAACTCTATCATTTTGATAGTTTATCCTTCAAAATATTAAAATGGTCGTCTGCCCAAGTTGGAGTTCTTAAACTATTATTAGTAAATTGGTTGAACAGGAAAATGAAAGACCGTTATTAAATTCTTTCAAGTAAAATCTTTCAATTAGGCTTTGAAGTATGCGAAAAATACTATATATTATTTTAAACAACAGTAAGTAATTCGGATTAATGATCCAACTAAAAGTCACGTATCTAAATCGTGCTTATTTCAGCTATGACAGCTGTCCTCAGTGAAGGAAAAATAAAAGAAATTTATTTATTTAACTTAATTTATTTTAAATACATTGTATATTAATCGAATTAAAATGTTATTTTTGGCACTATCAGCAATAAATCTATCTTAAACCGAATTTAACATTTGCCATTTGATCTAGCAATTTTACCTAATCTTCATACAATTATTTAATTATTTATTTACCCAATTGAATCTCCACTTATTTTAAATCATAAAAAATGTGAACTTGACATACCTATTCTGGTTGCACGATGAAATGTCGTAATTGCGTTCAAATGACTCTCAACCACATTTGAGATAATATAGTTGTCAGATGAAGAGAGAAGGTCGAAATTTTTTATTCGTTTCTCATTAATTGTAGTGGAAATACGATGTTAAGTCAAAATTTGACATTTGAAATTGATTGGAATTAAATATTATAAAAATATCTCCTTTAATGAGTAATGCATAAAGTATCTAATAGGTTTGTAGTTGTTATATATATTCAAATGAATTTATTTAAACATGTCATTTTTTGGGCAAACTCTTTGATTGCTCAAAAAAGGAATCCATCCAGAAATAATAAGCATCAGGATTTTGACAAAAATTAAAAATATTTGAAACTCAAAATGGGCACAATTAATGAAATACTTAAGTTATTAAGAAAGTGTGCGTCTAACGGCCTGCCCGTCTTAAATCGATTATATTAACTTCAAAGAAATTGTAATTTGGAGGCGCTAGAGGTCAGTATCTAACACAAAATAAATAATTTGTCCACAATCTCTAGGTTGTCTTAACAATTCCACCCTTTAATAGTATAAAGAAATATTGCCTCTGTCTGACAAACGTCAATTGAGGAACGCTACCAAAATTTGTTCACTACATGCTACAGTCAGTCTTTTCGTCTGAAAAACAATAAATTATGTTACTTCAAATTTAATATTCATTCGTAACCTTTTTTAAAAATATTAATTGCAGTGCCAAGGTTTAGCAAACATAATATCTGGGCATTACCTTTCCTGAACAAGAAATCAAAATATTCAAAGGCAAAACATGAAACTAAGATGTTGATACTCGAGATAGGCATCGGCTAAACATTGAACAACATGAATCATTATGCAATAGTAACGGTTTTCCCATATCAGAAAGAAAATATTCCGCTTTACTGAGGGGAGGGGAGTTATAATAGCAGTAAAATGCTTACGAATATTGTCAATTTGTGTTGACGTGTACGAAGTTCCAGTAACGTTCCTCCGAACAACCAATGTCGGCGTAGACCCCACTTCGCCCATCTTTCCTGAATCACTGGCATCTGATTTTGATGAGGACAGAAGTTCCGGTGGTCCGACCAACCGAAATGATACTTGATATCCCCTTAATTCTCCGTAAGTCTCAGCAGGTGGTTTCCATTGCAATTTCAGGACAATATAATCCTTGGGGAATTCACCTGTTAGTGCCGTTTCCTTTTGAAAGTTATCCAAAGTTAGATCCTGAGGTGGCGAGGGTACTGAAAAACAAATTCCAGGATCTTCTAAGCAAGGGTAATTGCTGATCTCAAAGACTTTGTGACTCCGATCATCATAATCAATGGCGTAGGTGATTATTGCAAGAAAAAGGAGGCTAAGGGGGGACATTGGGAGAGTGAATTAGTCTCATACGACGAAGAACAGGGGTAGAATGCGCAAATGTGGGTGATTAGCATGCACACGCGTTTAGGTTAGCATTGACAGTGGATTATGCAATTGGCCAATCAGATAGCCAAACTAGTCAGAATTGGGAAATATGATTTTGCCAGAGGAGAACTGTTGTGTGTACAGTCGGAGAAATTAGCCGAAGGCTAGTCATCTATTAGGAGGTAGCAACAAATTAACACGCCTTTTTGGCCTTCTCATAAATTGCAATCTAAGCAAATGATATTCGCTTTCTCCTTACTTAGCGCTACAACATGTTTCCATCAAATTACTCAAATGCATTAAGTGGATGCATATTATTTCCGGCATGAATCCACAAGCAAAAGCTATAGCTATTTTAAACCAATTAAAATCGAAATTTTGACTTTCGCAAGAAAATAGCTGATTAATTACTTTATTCTATTTATTTATTATATTTGAAAAAATATATTTTAAGGCGAAATTATAGGAATCGTTGCGGCTTCTAAATTTATTTAAACTGGACGAGTTTTGGGCTTATATTACAATTTTTGTAGTATTTTCGATTAAGTAAACGCATTTATATAATAATGAGAAGTTAGTATTAATTAGGTTGTTCATCTTAACTTAAAATCTTCTTAATCTTAGAAATAGCGTTCTCTCCTCCTTATGTGATCTTGGCTGTAAGAAGGTACAACCAAACAACTAATTAACGAGACATGAATGCGGCAGACGCGAACCAACTCAGGCAATGCGGGCAAATTAACTCCTCCAGAATTTCCAGAGAAAAGGGGTAGTGACGTCAGAACTTCATTATAGACTTTCATAGTTGACAACTCATTTGAAGTACTCTGTTATTTTGTAAGCCAAGATGCTTTTCCATTTTGAAAAATGGTAAGAATCGGTTTTCTTATTAGTATTAATCAAATCGATTTATAATCGTCTAAATTTTGCCACTCATTTTTGGCAGTTGGTATTCAGTTCATTTCTCCAAAATAATGATTTCAAAAGAATAGATGTGACTTCGATAGGAGGTGTTTGCAAAACATATGAGAAATCCTGAGAAACGGAGTTCAATCCCATGCATGCTGACACTAGTATAAATATTAATGAATTAGTTACCCCAGATGTGATTAATTAATCAATTTTCCAAACTATATTTGTAGAAACCATTAAAAAGGATTTTGCTTTAATACACATTCGTTTTAATATTCACTTTCTCAATTTGGATTAAATTAAACTAGCCTAAATAGAGTTAACATTCTTTATGGAATATTTGTAATGTGATTTCTTCCGGGTTAGAGTAGCTAACTGAATATATATATACCCTTACCATTCAAATTGGAGAAAATCTTGTCGCACAAATACAATGATTTCGTTGCGAAGAAACTGACGCCGATGTGAGTATGAATTAATTATGATGGAATTGAGATATGAAGAAACTAATTTTTGCTAACTCTGATAAGCGGAAAAAATATTTTGTAACTGCTTTCACAATCCAGACTACAACTGCGCCTATATTTACTTGCCGAGAATTTACACCTATAGCTGAAGTTTAGAAGGACTACCAACTGATGTATTTTGAAAACTCTTGTTTACGTAAACTACTGGTTATCGGCCCTTTGAAACCCACTTGATTAAGAAATTGCCCAGCCAAATAAAAATGCTTCATTTTAAACAAGTTATGAGATTAGATATTTTCATTAGTGGCTTCTTTTGAATCATATGGCAACAATTTTAATTAATACAAAATGGAAGAACTTGTGTAAAAGTGATGAAATGGGATATTAAATTAATATGAGTTTGCTACTATTTGTTCATCGTGAAATCTAAACAGAAATTTCGATAAGTACACCCCTTTAATTAAATTTATTCACACCATGTAGACAAAATTACTACGACTACATTTTCGATATATCTGGAACAGCGAAATCTGGAATGTTCAGAACTCTTAAATTTGTATGACAAATCCTACTCACAAGTCTGTGAGTAGAGTGGTTATTTTGAAATCGGAAGAATCGTAATTTGGATAAATTCTACGAGCTAACTTCAACAAATTGACTTAAAATTACGTTCTAAAAATGAGTCATGAAGATAGAAATTACATTTGTCAGCAAAAACCTTTCGAATGCTTAGGGCTCATTAAATGAACCTGTGCAGGTTGTTCTTTTAATATTGATTCTGCAACCTTTTCAAAGAACCTTAACAAATTAATGGTTAAAATCGTGTTATATATGTCCTTTTATATAGAAAATTTAGAAATAATTGCGTCCATCCATTTTCACTCAAGTCATTTTCATTTTTAAGTTTCAGGCAAGTTTTGCACTAACTTCACTCTCCTTCAAAAATTTACTTGTCCAAATTCAATCGTGTAACTGCAAAAGATACGGTGAGATTAGTATTCTATAAATGCAATAGTCTCGTCACTTTCAAATCAACGTATAGCCATAAGGACATGATGAATTTCATGGAACAATTTCAATGGACATATTTGCTAGTTGCCTGTTTTTACCGCTTTAATGAAAATAGTCCAAAAGCTTTCCCAAGAATGATGTCACCTTTTTCTGGAAAAATTTGCATTGAATATAATTAATTTATTTTTCATAATGCATAGAAAAACTAAGCTAATTCTATTGGACTGGTGGTAATAATTGGATGCCTTTGTATTAAAATTTAAAAGCAGCGTAATAACTCGAAATGTAAGTAGTGCATATTTTAAATAAATGCAAGGAAGGTAAGATCATTGTGTGCGCATCAGTAACTATTTGTAAAGTTGTCTTATACTGTCGGTTTGTTTACTATGGTTATGAAATTTAAAAAAACCTATAAATTTCTTAATGAGTGGACCTGTAAATCCAAGAGAACTCTGAAACCGGTAATTCTTCTTATATTAGACAGACTTAAACCGGTTTGTTCAAACTTTGTGCTTTATTTAACCTATTACTTAAATTAGCTCACAATAAATATAATGCAAAACGCTACTACATAATGTGTACTACTATGACAAAAGTATTACTTTAAAACGATTAGCTTTTGTTTTGTCCAGAAATGCTAATTCGAAAAATCGTCCAATAGCGTAAATCTCTCTCTTCAATATTCCTGGCTTGGTAATTACATTGGAAAGACGACTGAGTGCCCAAACCCCTTAGTGCGGCAAAAGTGCTTCCTACTTCTCTCCCCATTAAGTCCCATTTCACGGCCAGAAAAACTATTAATTAAAGCAAAGCAAATAAGCAGCGACTGTTGCTCATGTTGAGTGAATATTTGTTGAGATTTTGCATACATTAGCGGCGACTTTCGCTGGCTTGGCATTCGGTTATTTCTGGTGAAAATGCAACGCTCCGTAACTCCGAAATTTCGCTTTAAATATTTTTCACCGCCTTCTACGCCTTTGCTTCGCTAACTTATCTCTAAACTACGAGTTCTTTCAACTTACGATTGCTGAGGGTTCGAATTTCCAACTTTGCTGGCACACCCAGACCATGTTGGGTTCTTGCTGTCAGAACAACTTGGTACAAGGTGTCTGATTGGAGGGATTTGATGGTCCAGCCAGTGTGCTTGGCAGGGATTGAGATTGCTAGGGGTGTTTGTGGGAGGGTAGTTGCTGAGATCTCACTTGCGGGTCGACATTGTAATTGGTAGTCCAGGATGGTCATACCATGAGGTAGTTCAGGAGGCGACCAAATAAGTTGAATGGACGTTGGGGAAGGACTCACGCCCCGAAAATTGAGTGGCTGTGGAGGGACTAATTGAAAAAAATTAATGTTTTATATAACATAACCTCAACGTATTCATTTGGCATTGAACTTTGACCTGTTTGCTTGTACCATTATCTATTGCCTCGCTGCTCATTTGTGTGAACTCTGCATTGTTTCAGTTGAAGGCGACTTTTGTCAAGGGATTAATTAATTCCACTCTCGTAACTTAAATACAAATCCAAATACTATTGAAGTTATATTTCAGTGGGTAGATGATCGCTAGGGAGTTAAAAATTCGTCACTAAATGCCATATTTTCTTTCAATTTTTGCTTTTTAGCGTAAAATCTCGGACATGACTACCTTGCTTATCATTGAAGTTGAGAGTCAGCTATAACCTGTGGGAAACACAATACAGGGAAAACTGGCCGTAAGAAAATGAGAACCTTCACAGTGCCAGCCAAACTTTATCTTGACATTTGGGCTTGAGCACATTGGACGATAAACACAAACGTGGAGGAGAACAAAGTTGATGATTAGAGGGAGCAAAGTTATCAACCCGGAGTTTATAATAAGCACACTGATTTGAGCGGAGGCGTTAGTAAACAGATGAACAGGCAAACAAAAACATCGGTCTCATGATATTTGGGAGATTAGTAGCAATAGTCATCATGTTAACTGGATATAATTTTGAGCACTTTCCTTATTAGCATAAAAATTAAGAGTTACATAATGTTAAAAAAGATGAAATCTGGCGCAAAGTACAACTTTTCGCAACAATTCAAGGAGTTGATCTCGATTTCAGAAGAAGTGCCTTTTTCAGTCCCACTTCAGTATAAGGAAGTTTTCTTTGCCTCGTCTTAGGATCGTAGCTCTGTCAGCCAGTTACTCCAGTTCTCATTTTTCTTCCCAGTACGGATAAAATTAGCATAATAACTTTTTTTCAAGTTGAATAATGAACATTTGACAACAGATAGCATTTTCAAATGTCAAGCTGGTATTCTTATTCTTTATAACGTCTTATCATAAGACATACATGGAGGCGGAAATCGCCAATTGGATGAACATACATTGACGAGAATGGTATGAAAGAAGCTAGAGAGATTCTTGATTTCCCGCCAAGTATAGAAATAAATTTTCTAAATATTACTGAGGTGTGGGGGGGGGAGTGGAGGGAAGGAGGGGGTGGGGGGGGGGCTTATCAGAAGATAATCAACACGAGTCGCCTGCGCTGAACGGATATTCCACCTACCTACCAACCTGGGTAGGCAGAAAGGCCGAAAGAAGGAAAAATGGAGGGTGAACGATGCAGCCCCTTTAAACCCCATCTCGCAGTAATTAATGCGCACTAGTTATGGCACTTTGCATTATCTTCTTGATGCGATCAGGAAATTTGGCTTCCTGCATTAAGCAAAACGCCTCTGGGAAGTCAGATAAACCGGCGGCTCCTCACACCATCACATCATTCATCCTATCTCCTCCTCCTCCTCCTCCTCCTCCTCCTCTTCTTTCTTTATTCTCTTTTGGTTAATCAAATAAGGCAACTTTAGTCACTAAGTTTATTAAAAAAATAGACAGACTTATTAATGCTTGGAAAACAATATTATTTTACTCATTATCTTGAGTGAGACTTTTAATCTGCCATTATATCTGAAATTTCTTTGAGCCTTTTTACAAATTTAAATATTGATTTCCGGTTTAATTCAAATAAATGTTTGAAAAATCGGTTAAGCTTCTCGTCGCTTTCTGCGTTATTGATCCATATTTACCAATTTGGTAATCTCAATCATGTACAACCTGCATTTTTCAAGGTCACATAACTATTCATAATGGAAAAACATTTTATCGAAGGCCATACAATTCAAACAAAATAAATCGCCATTTTTGAATTTGCCAGCCTTTTTATTTGCTATTGTCTACTTTGAAGTAATGTCTAAGTATCTGAAATAAATATTTTTCTTCAATTGCCACATTCAATCAATCAATTATTCCGTCTCTAATTTCTAATTTCGTTACCAAATGACTCAACGAAAGAATTCAACCGAAAAAACTAAACGGAAATTTAATAATTTGCTTAAAATGTTTTGCTTCCAGCCAAATTTTACTCTGGCATATTCCTTTTTAACTAATTATATTCCTCTGCAACTGAAATAATTCCTAAATCGATTTTTAGAAGAAATTCATTTTGCGAGAGTTTGCGTTGAACTGAGAATTATAAACAAGCACTTCAAATTGTCTTCCTGAAAGACATCCGCCTACTTTTCCTATCAAATTTATGAGAAAATGAATTCAGAGTATCAAATTATGTATTCATTTAGTGCGGGCAAATTGGTACCAATTTAATTTTCCAACGCCAATTTTTGCCAATGATTTAATTCCTCATCATAGCAAATATCTTGTCACCAACTTGTTAATAAGGTAGAATGGGTTACAAATAATGATTTGTACAAATACTTTGCCAATAAAACGGAAGTCATTGTCTGCCTTAATAAAAATATATTATTTCCTGAAATGAATGATCGTACCTACGAAACCGTGTATTTGCTAATATCGATGCAAGTTCAAGACAGTCTAGCTCTTTTAGTAATAAGCAAATGAAATCATATTAACCAAGTTGGCTTTATGACAAAGTGATTAGGAATCTCTAACACTAAAATATTAACTCGCAAACCCGCCTAGGAAAGCAGTCTGGCAGTCTGGTGGGAATCTTCTACTCTACCTGCCAGTTTATCAGCCAGACTTGATCAACTTGAAAAGCCATTTCTGTCACTGGATATGCTCTGATTGAAATGGGCAAGAATTTTAACCATTGAGCTTAAAACGCATTGGAACCTCCTTATCTTCTTTAGAATTGTTGTGCTACTTTAAAATCATTGAGGGAACTAAATTTTGGTTTAAATTAAATCAAAAGAAAAAAATTTAAGGCCAACATCGCATACCTCCTGGATTAACAATGATAGGAAGAGCGTCGCTAAGAGGTCCATCTCCAGCTGAATTGAACGCGGAGACTCTGATGTAATACGTTGCCATATAAGACAGCCCCTTGAGAACTGCATGTGGCTTGTTGGTCTGAATTACCTGCCACTGTTCTAACTTGTTTCGGAGATGGGTTGAATAGTAAACTTTGTAGCCCTAAAAAATTTAATGAATTCGAAACAGCAATAAAAAGGCATTGAATTATTGTTGAAATAATGAATAAGAGTTTCCCTTCAATAAACACTAAAACAGTTAGGATCCTGCAGAGATCAATGGCTATTTCTTTTTTAATCTCCCAAAAGGATATTTCATATAACCCATTCGAGGAAAGTTGAGGCTTAAATCAATTTGGAGATTACATGACTGAAAGTGCTCAAGGCGAGTCCCCAGTAATATCAAATCTGACGCCATTGAAATGCATTTCAAGCAGCAATAAAACACAGCAAGTGCACGCAGTTCATTAAACTCTGCTCCACGCCACTTCATAAGTGCTCGTGATAAATCAAAATTGATAGGTAAAAGTGGGAGACGTTTCATTAAGATTTCAATCAAACTCATTTTTCTTGAATTCACTAAATACCAAAATGCAATTGTTTAAATCGAAACATATAAGGGCCGAAATGATTTAAAATCGCAGCAAGTTAAGCCGTGTTTGTGCCATACAGCAAGTGAAAACTTCAGACATTCTAAAGAATATTGAGAAAAAGGCTAAACACCAATAGAGACATCTTTCATGGAAATGGAAGACTGAAAATGTCGCTCCGGTATTAGCATGTTTGCCTAATTCAACTTTTAATTGTTTTAAAAAGAATCTTTGTTCATATAATATTTATTCTAATCATAGTGTAGACAAGAATAAATTCGAAATTGACAACCATTTCATTCCCTTTATCCGATCACTGAGTTAGTACCCAATCACAAAGCAATTGGATAAATTATTGGAGAGGTGAATTAGGACGACACGTGATAATTTGTACGTTTGATCAAAGATTAATTTTCTGAAAATTAAATATGCCAAATTGGGACTTGTATTTACGTTTTCGACCTATGAACTTTTATGCAGAGAGCTGTACTCTTGAACCAGTAGAGGGGCCATTACATGAATTCAAGGACAGGTCATTTAATGCAACCCGTATAGATATTTGAATTTTAAGGAATTTCGAGATGTAAATGGATTTAGTTCGTGAAGCGAGTCTTAAAATGAATATCATAAGATAGATCAAGCTTGAGAGATAAGTTATTTAATTAGTCATCATTAGCAAACAAATAAATGATTGTCTGATCAACCACCATTTAGTGACAGATAGCCTACCTGTCCATGAGAGCGTTTGTCAGTTTTTAAAGCTGTAGAATTAAATGAAAACTTGTTATCCAGAACTTTTTACTAATGGCAATGTTATGAGCATTGAGGAATCACACCTGTTCAAATGAATGGAACAGATAAACCCTATGAATCTGAAGTATCATTGATTCAATAGAGTGGGAGGTTAATGCAGTGATAGTTATGCCAAACGTATCCACTTCATACACTCAGAAATTATAATCACTTTCCTCTTATTTAGATTTCAATCTCTTCAGAAGTGTTCTTCCTCATTTCTTATCACTATTGATCCTTATGGGGCTGGCCGATGAGCTTTGAATCCATTAGCAATAAATGATTTGAGTTTGCTTTGAACTAACTAGCATCACGATGATGCTGATATGTGTAATCATCCATCGTCCATGAAAATTTTCATCTTCAATTGAGTGTTCTCATAACTATCCAAGAATAGCTAATTTCGTAACAGGGTAGTTTTATCACAAATGCAGACACTTGGAGTTCCTTATTCTTTAAAATGAATTTTACAAAATTGTCTTTCCCCTTCCCTGAGTATAAGTTAGGTGGAAATGGGGGCGTACCAGTCACTTTGATGTCAACCGTCTTCACTAATTGAAATGGGAAAAGTTTCAGTGATGAAGTGGAAGTCAAAAAATGGTGGTGCTATCACACACACACACACAACCTCCATCAATTTCATTTCCCTTTGGTGTCGTGAAAATTCTCCAGGGATCTTATGAATAATGAAAACTAAGGTGTAACCACATCTGCCTATCAGTAACTCCCCTTCTACTTCAAAGAACAGGAAATATATATATATACACATACATACCTATTTGTAGGTACTTGGAGATGCCTTCAGCGACTAACCTATTTAAAAGGAAATTTATTACAATCCTATTTGCTATAAATCTCCAAGGTGCGTGGGAACAGAGACGCCCACAAACAATGGGAAAGGGGCTTTAACCATCTCACCTAAAATTTCACAATAAGCTTAGCTTGATGAGTTGGATATGTGGAGTGATAATGAAGGTCACTTTAAACAGAATATTAAATTTGTATCGATAGTGCAGAGGCTATTGTACTTATTGAAAAAAATGTTATGTACCTTTGAAGGGGACTACACTTAGTCCATTAAAAATGCATGAATTTATAAATGGCAATTTCAAATTCTTTTCCTAATTGTTTCAAATAGGAATTATTAAATGACTATTCATTTAGAAGTGTAGTCGGTAGATGTGGTACTGGAGAGAAGGGTTTCAGAACACTCTGGAAATGCTATAACTCGTTAAAAAATGTGTATTTCAAATTCTCAGTATTTGCTTTCATTAATTTGAAATGATTTTCACTCAAATTAAGTTTGCTTCAACTTATTCTTCTAAATTCGATCATATTAGAAAAGTATTGTTTCAACTGCCATACAAGGTCAGACCAAACCACTAGATGAAGGTACTAATCAAATGTAACACATGGACTAATTAAATGTACTTTCCAAGAAGTTGAAAGCAAAAGATTCAAGTAATGTGGAGGTTAGAACCACTGGTCTTTACTTTGAAATCAGTGAAACCTTCCAGGCGATAAAGTCAAGAGCCAGGGAACTGCGATTTCGGCTTCATTTCAACGAAAAATTCTCTTCGCTTTTCTTTTAAATTTTAATATTACTTCGCGTGTTTTGAGCTTTGCCATTGAAAGAAAATTTTATATTTTCTCTCTTGCCAGGGCTAATAAACTTTGAAATGAGAGATACAATAAATACCTCGCTAGGGGGTTTGAAAATATGAAAGAGCTTAATTTAAAGAATAAATAACACGAATTTACTCTCACTTAATCTATGAAAGCGTGGAATCAGTTCAACAGAGCGATTGCATTCCTTTCAAAACAATAAAGATGGCCAAGCAAGAAGTCATGTGTATAAATATTCATGAATAATTATCATGCTTGATAAATTAATATAGTCGTCAATGACTGTTCTATACTCTGCTAAACCAATTGCTGTCACTTGATGACTCAAAGTGACCCACAAGTAAAATTAAGAAGCCCTCCCTCCCGAACGTACGTTGTGTTAGCCTTTCCAAATTTACCCGTCCTTGGATTCATGGTGTGCACGATAAGTTTACTTCCACGTGGGGCACCCTGAGCAACGTATACTCATACCCCAAAAATGTCTTCAAATCGGCTATTGATTCCTGATTTCATACTACCATGACCCAAGTGGATTTCATATTCGTCCGCTTTCCACAGTACTCATCTTACGCCTTTTCTCTGCCCTTGTGTCTGTCTCTTATATTGGTGGATCACTCTTCTTCTCCCCCCCCCCATTGACCTTTTATGACTTTGATGTCTCCTCCCCCTCCCCCCTGTGAAGCGCGAAGCCAACTAAAGTTCTAGTGATAACTATCATAAAGCTTGCCATTTGATATAAACATATATCGACTTCACCTGTAATGGTCATATGTTTCATTGGCCCATCTCAACCCTCGTTTTCCTGATTTGTGGGAGATCATTGCCACTTGATCACATACTTTGGGAAAGAACTTTCCCAAAGAAGTATTTACAGGATCCTTATCTAAAGCGATGATAAATTATAACCATTTGCATAAAATGGAATTCGCTCTTCCAGCATCCAATTTGTTACACCGCATTGAGGTATTCAGTTATAAAGTAAAGAATTTCAGCTTTCACTGAAGAAAGTGATGTGGAAATATATTTTTGAAGGTAAAGATGAATCTGTACAGAGGAACAAAAATTCAATCCCGAAGGGTGTGAATAGAGGCTCTGTTTCGCAGGGGAGAATGTAGCGTTGTCCCTGAAGGTAGCTTTCCCCATCAAGTTCGCTTACTTTATGGATGAATTAACTGTACTGCGCCGAAAAATTCGGCTCTCTTTATGATAAGCTTATTTTGGAAAGCATTTTCTAGAGCTCATCATGAGCCTACGTGTTGAGAAACTTGAACTCATTGATGTCCAGACTTAAGATGTGTGGCTGGCTATTTGCCCGTTGATATACCGCAATGGGAGTCAGACCTCTGATCTCTGGCGTGAAATGAGTGAGATTTTGTAAAGTCCTACCGGCCACTCGATTGTATAATGTTTGTGGAAAGAGTTTTGTCGCATTAGCAGACATCAAGTTCCTATCGTGCGTCTTATTCAGATGCGAGGAAGAGTATTCCCTCTTACCAGGCACAACTAGTTGACTTCGAATCTTCAATAGAGATAAATAGGAAAGCTAAATAAAGTGTTGCAGTGTTGCTATGAGAACGCCAAATTCTATTGTTCTACATGCCCATGTGCACAAAGCCATACACGCATCTACACAAAAAAGAGGCATATCTACATAGTCTTGCATACAGGCTTACTGGGCCTAAAAGAAGGTCAAATTTGCATTGTGGGCAAATGCGCATGAACTCCTCTAATTGTTCATTTTAACTTCTTCATGGTAGAGGAATTTCATTACTTCCTCCCCACCACCCCCCTTTTTGTGGATAATATTATGCTGTAGAAAAGAGAGAAAACTTATTATGAAACAGGAATGTTGAAACAATATCGGTTATTTTTGAGGTTTTGTTGGCATTCAAAATGCCCGCTCATCAAATTTGATTGAACTCCGAAGGATATATATGTTTTGATTAGCCAGAGAGCGCTCATAACTCGTCGATAGCGATTTGAAGGGAAAGGTTCACTCCAAGTAGCATCGGCTTATAATTCAAATATTAATTATACTATAATGATTCTAGTGGTATTTATCTCAATTCACCATGGAGCATGAAACATAACCTTCTTTGATTTCCAGAACTTGAACCAAGTTAAGAAGACATCATCATTTTAGCAACCTCAAAATTTAAAAAAACGGCTCCTTTTTAACCAGCATTTCTGTTAATTAACCGCATCACTGGACTTCGCATATTATTGGGATTTTAAGTTATTCTATTAAGCAAATACCAGTTGCCGATTCTACTGAACAAGGCAAGCATGCAAGTGAATTTAATTACGGACGAACTCAAAACAATTGATGATGTATCTAAAGAGCATTTGATTAGCGATGGATAAATGCTCATTTGCAAAATGGGAGGTATCCGATTCCTTTGTGAAGAGTTCGATGACGAATGCATTCATTACAAACAGAATAAATCAGATCTGAAATCTTCAGATTGAACTTTTTCAACAAATGTAACCTGGGTGTCTCACCACATTGACCTTAATTAGGAGCACTAAACTGGACTGATCTGTCAGCTAACGCATCCTAACGATTTCAGCTAACGATTTCACATCCTTTATCAAGTTAATTATGTACACTTTTCTGTCAAATGACCGAATTATTGTTACTAAGACAAACGCCTCCCTTGTTTTAGTCTGAAATACCGGCTTTGCTTAAAATAAACAAGAATATAACTACATCACCCGATATTTATAGTCATGCGATATAAATTTTTATATAGGTTGGGACAAGTTATTAGTTCACATTTAATTGAATAGTAAGAAATTTCCTGATCCAAAGTTGTACGTAAAATTTGCTATTTAATATTACCCAATTATAGTAAATCCATTTGTTGTGAAAAAATAGCTTTCATTTGTATATGTGTGTATGCCTTTAAATAAGTGGACAGAGTGTTTCCAAGCGAGGAATTCTTCTGGTGATAAGGTAGCTGTTACATTCGTGTCAAACAGATCTCGAAGACCCTACCACTCCTTTGGCTTTATGATCACTAGATCAGTACGATTGATTTTTCCTTCGGTGTTAACCAACTGCCGCATTTATTAATTTGTATTACCAATTAAAAGGTATTGTTTCAAGCCTTTTCATTAACAGAATTCAATTCTTCTCTAGTAAGCTAAAATGGTACTTTTATCGGATTATGCTTTATCATTAATCTATTCTCACAAACATCCCCCCCCACATCCCAACCCCCCCCCCCACATCCCATCCCACCTCCACAAAAAAAGAATTTTTACTTATAATCCAAGCGTGAAATAAACTACCAAGTGCAATGACGTCTATTTAACAAACAGTTAAATTATTAACTATGACGAATATACATATTCATACAAATAAAATTTGTAGGTTACGTGGGGGGGGGGGGGGGAGGGGGGGGGGGNTTTCGGGGGGGGGGGGGGGAGAGAGGGAGGGAGAGAGAAAAGAGCAAATGGAATTCGTCACAAATGGATACATTGCAGCACAAGTTACTATTGTGTCCCATTCATACCCAACTTTTGATTAAGGCATATTTAATTATCTTCTTGCTACCTTGGACCGCTATATATTCCGTTGAGAAGGGAGATATTAAACCAGCGCTAGCAACTTTGACAATAGGTTCACTCATTTAGTTGTTGAACAAAGAAAGAGTTGGCAAGGGTAGAAGGCGTGAGATTGCAGGGATTGATGGGGTTACTTTCCCCAAAACTACCAAATGTTATTTTATACAAAAAAAACCCTTTCCAGTGATGAAATCGAAAGAATATAGCTTTGATTTTTACTCAGTGGAGTTTATCAGCATAAGCATGGAACTTTTGAAGATCAATAGTGCTTCTCACATAATCAGTACTAATATTTTTCCATAGTGCCGCATGGGTTATATCTCATATAGATCCCTATAATAATATAACATAGATCCTAATATTGACCTTTGTAAAGTGAATATAAGATTACAAAATAGTAAAAATTACGAGTTACTCATGTAGTGAAGCCTGGTTCCCTGATTACTTGATTTTATGCTCTCCCTCCTTCCCCCACCCCCACCCCCACCCCCTCGCCTCCTTCCAAATCTTGTTGTTCTGAAATTTCGTGCCATCACTCAGATTGCAACTTTTATTCATGCAAATAAAGCCATGTGACTTGGTAATAATATGGTATTGATTATTTTTTTAAAGAATTGTTGTAAAATTATTGTCGTTATGCACGTCCGTCTGGTATTCCTGTGGTACAAAGTTCGTCAGTTTACGGGTTATTTGACTACTTCTCATGTATGAAGAGCTCCAAGAGTGTGGAAGTTAAAAGCACGTTGATGCTGAAAAATTGGGAGCATGCCATACCATCTCGTTTGAAAGCACTTCCTGGTAGGCAGACCAAATAGGACATGGGTGTAGTTATAGAACCAGTCATAACTTCGGAGTTTAGCGCTTCACCTCAAACTTTTGCTGATAAAAATTTTTGATCCATCTACCTACCTTTTATTCTATTATAAACTATAACACATTATTTGATACATTTCCCTAATTGGAAGATCTTTGTTAATGAAAGCCTATATAGGCAATTTGGACAATTTTGTGACAGCGCGTTAGCTCATATGTCTGCTCTGTCTAGGCTGTCTTCCCATGATTTTCAATTGGTGTTTTTCAAGTAAATAATAAATGCCAAACCAGCAACCCTGGGCGAATTAGATTAAAAAGATCTTCTTACGTACGTTTCAATAATAGTCTGTCATCAGTTACTCACTTTTCTCAAGCACTTTAACTATCACGGATTATTTTCTCATCGGCATTTTGAAGATGATAGCCAATACTATTTTGGTGACCTTGAAGCTGCTCTACACCACATTGGTTAATAGTAAAACACACTTTTATTTGTATATTTAACGCTGCTCAATGGTAAACTTACAATAATCTTGCCATTGGGTTCTGCCGGCGGTTTCCAGCTAACGCTTATCGAGTCTGAACTGGTCGCAGTAGCGCGTATCGATAATAATGGCCCACTTGGAGCTGAAAGTTAAAACAACAACCTTTACTTAATTTTAATAAACAAACGGTGGTGTTGAAATCGAGAATGACATTAAAGAACCTAAATAAGCCAGCAAATAATCCAAAATATCTAAATTTCGCATATATGCATGCCGTTCAATTTGGACAGCTGAAATTTTCATTGAACTTTGACTATATTTCGTGCTTTTCTCTCATTTTAGCTTTCGAAACGTGCCAGTTACCACCAATTTAACCAAAATTAAGTCACATAATTAAGCGTTTAATAATAGTCTCAAAGCCAATATAACATTAGCTCAAACCTACGTAATTCAAGTGTTTTAAATGTGACTTGATTGCTAACATCTGAGATCCCATACTGAGCACCCAAAGCGTAGACTTCCGCAGTATATCGATGATCAGGTTTGAGTTCGAGAACTTTCTGATGAATGTATCCATCAGCTTCTATTTTCCTCGGTGAAATACCCGTGATCTTCCTTTTCTTAGCCTGCCGACCGTTGTCTGCATCGAGGTCGGTGACAATGAGAGTGTAGGATGTGATTGGGACGGGTGGAGGTCGTGTAGGATCAGGTTGATTGTCATCATCAATTCGACTCGGAAACCAACGCAAAATTGCGAATGTTGGTCCGCGTTCTACAACCTGGAGATCCACTGGAGCTCGCGGAACATCTGAAAGCGAATTAAAATTTATATTTTTTAACAAAGCATTCATCCAATTTTCCTTCGATTATAATTCTGGAATAAATGGCTAATTGGTTCCTGCAATGCTTAAGTAAATTACCAATTAGAATTCCACATTAGTAATAAAATTTGGCGATAAAACAAGATTCAGGTTTGAGAAGTAGAAACTTTCCACCTCAAGAGGCTCAAATTGGGACTTTGACAATCGGATATCGCAGAATGCTCTGTTGGGAATATGTAATAGCTAACTTGAATTAAATCTTGCAGGTTTTTTTAGCTCTTTGAAGCCTATAGCTGGACACAGTCGACAGCTCATGGTTATTTATGGTGATACGATTTCTCTATTTAATTACTTTAATCAAATGATTGGAAGGCCTTGAAATGAAATTCTAAAAATTGAAATTTTACAAACTATGGCATTGTGCAATGAACCATCCTAAATTTACAAAAAATCAAGGAAAGAGCAGTTTACTGTTTCTATATTTCGGTGACGTGAAAATCAGAGGGACACATCAATAACTGTGCTTATCAGTGCCATTGGCATTCACTGTTGTTGTTCATTTCACAAATTCAGCAAAAAATTCAAACTCATCCCACTTGTTGGGGTATTTAAGGTGTATAAAGGCTGAACAGGCCTAATTTGAAAAGAACTAAGTTGATAAATGTAAATACTTCTCACAAACATCGATAATTAAAACGATTCATTTACTTTTCTATATTTTTTGGTTCTAATCTAATGTTATGTTGGTTATCAAATGTTATCTGTACACTTAAACTTCATTTTGCTAGAGCAAAGTACAGTTGCCAACACCCTTTTTGGCAAAAACAGTAACTAGAATAATTTAGTCAGTAATAAATGAAAATTTTTTCACATTGGTCCAGGCAGTTAAGTCTAGCAATGATCTTGTTTAAAAAGTTAACCTATGCTTCATTTTTTACCATAATTTCATATTTGGTAATTTTTCACGTAGAGTAAATTACGATTAATTTAGTTTAGAATTCTTTCGATGATATCATTAAAGGAAGGCCACTTAAATGCATATTTTACTCCAGTCTTATTAAAACTATCGATGCTAGTTGGATCAGTGTACGCTGCGTATCTAGAAGGTTCAATTTGCCAAAATTTTGGCTAACAAAAATAATTTTATTTATCAATTTTACTTGCATGCTTAGAATTGTCAATTAACTGTTTTAATGAAAAATTTAGTAATTGAATTTTCACCAACTTAGTAACTTGCGGTTCTGGTAACAATAAAAAATCAGGAACTTTAATGTTTAAAATAATCGCATAATTTCAGGGAATATTAGAAGCGTGTGTTGTGGCGGATGGCGCGAATTAAAAAACGGTGTAAAAGCATATTTGGATGATCTTATCTGTGGAATAAGTTTGATTGGGAAAATTCTAAAATTATTTCATTTTTGCAACGATTATTACTCGAAAGCGATGTTAAAATTTTGGATTTCAAGAGTTATCTATTGTGTAAATAATTCCGTATTTCTTTTGCAATTAAATCATGTATTTAGTAATATCTTTGTGACAATGCGATTAAACCAATACATATGTTCGGTTTGGTGGAAGAAACGATCGTTGCCTCATTCCTAGTTGTAGTGCGGCAAAGCAAACTAAAGTGGTGTGACAAAAGGCTTAACTGTGTAAATTGATCTTTTACGGGATCCACATAAGATTGTCGAGCGTTAGGAAATTAACAAGGGAACTTTCATTCTGAGGAGTTGGCAGATAACTTAATGCTTGCAGGATTAAAAGAAATCAACCTAATTTCATGATTCCTCGTTTCACATCTTATTGCGCTAATACTACGATTAAACACAAACGTTTAGGCAGCACATACGGTAATAACAACAGTGATAATTGCCTGATTTCGTATTCAGATTTGAGGTGTACGATAGACTTACCTCCATGTGGTTTGCCCTGGTCAACGTATATTCACACAGCAAAAAATGTCTATAAACCTATAGTTGAATTCTGATTTCAGACTACCATGACCACACTCTATATCATGTTCATCCACCTTACCTTTTTCTCTACCATTGTGTTTGTCTATCGCTTTTACGTCCGTGAATCCTTCTTCTGTTCCTCCTCTCCACCTTCTGTGACGTTGATGTTTCTCTCTTCTGTGAAGTCCAAAGTCAGCTATAGGGCTAGTGATAACTATCATAAGGCCTGCCATTTGTAATAAATAAAAAAATGCTGTGAATTTACTAATTAAATCCCAATTAAACATTGACAATTGACTAGCAGGACTTTCGAAAAGATGTCCGTTCAAAGATTAACCAAATAACATTTATATTAATAGTCATTTTGCAAAATTATCATGAACCCATAGATTAGATATGAAAGTAGCATGTCTTCTCTGAAATAATTTGAACCTCCTCTGGATAAATAAAGTCTAATTTATCTGAAGTTAGCATAAGACATGGGGACATTTGTCATTCGTCTCGATCCCGTGGCATGTGGAAGATCGGACTCCACCTTCCTTGATAGCATGCTCAAAATTCAATATGACTGCTCAGTTGCTCACTTTAGAGTAGTCTTTTCATAATTAAAAACCTTTATTATACTTACATTCACTTGCCAAAAGATGCCATTAGTCATATCACTTGCACCTTTCCAAAACCTACCAAATAGATTTAGCCATTTTATGAAGTCTCATTACTATTCGATATCGATTAGTAATATTTGCTAAAGATGTATAGTGAATATGGCCCTTTTGAAAGTGGACTTAAAATGTGGTAGGGATAGTTAAAATTCAAGGCATAGAAGCTAATTTATATAGAAAATAAAGGACATTGTTCTTATTGTTTTCAAGTTTCGATTCCATAAATCAGTCGGAATAAAAGTAGATTATCAATATTTTGATAACTTTTGCTCGAATATGTAGCAGTTCCTAGCAGTAGGATTTATCTATCATTAGAAAAAAAAATGAATTCGATGTTGGAGTTACACAATATAATGATTCTATCTACTTGATACATTATCTATCAAGTGGTTGAAAGTTAGAGATAGAATCACGCTTCATGGAGCAACGTCTAGAGCTTAACTCTTCGAAGCTAAGAGATCCCTTTAGGTGAACTGGAAAAAGAGTCAATGAATTATGTCCCAACTATCCTGTCCATAACTATCGACCTTACTATGGATCAGTAAATCCTTGAAATTAAGCAAATGAAATAATCAATAGTTGGTTTTTATTGCTAGTAGTAGCCCACTTCATAAGCAATTGATCTTACCGATAATTTCAACTCTAACAAGGTGTTGAACGCGTCCAAGACTATTATTGGCAACGCAGATATAATCTCGAGGTTCTGTGACATCAATCAAAAATAGAATGGCCTTCCAGTCGACAGCCTCGGTCAACGGCTTCTCTTGGTCCGTGAGCCACTTCACTTGGGGTTTTGGATTTCCCGTTGCAGTGCAAGTCAAGTTGGCGCCCTTTCCAGGACGTACCTCAACTTTGTCTTGCTGCTCGATAATAGTTGGTGGATAGAACGTATCTGGATTGCAACGATGAAATGAAACACATATTAGAAATAAGTAAATATGTCAATTTATATTCAAATAATAGTTGGTATGTGGCGAATATCTTCATTGAGTTCCATTTATGAGTACCAGTTTAATCATAAATAATAGTGGAAAGCAAATGAACAAATAGGAACGATTTAATCAATATCAGAGATGGCATGATTCCAAATGTTTTCGTCACCATCCTCTTTTCAATTAGGCATTGTGTAGCCAATCAATGGTCATGAAATTCTATAATTTTTTGGAATGTCTGTGTTCCGGCCATTGTCTATTCACCCGTGCACTCCCTTACATTTTTCACACCTTTTAGATGTATTTTATGTTCCAGTGAGTGAAAGATGGATTACTTTTTAGGATTCTGCTTTTAAGTCGCACTATCATTCACATTGAATATCTGCTCCACTTCTGGATCGAGGTTCCCTGTCAACCTTTGTGTGAGAAGCTTTAGATTTCGGTAATTGTGAACTCAGAAAACTTACAGCGATTGTACCGTTTTTCAGTTTACACTTGGCCTTCGAGATTTCTCAGAGTCCCGCTGTACAAATCAAGTATTACCTACCGAGCTACCTTTTGGACAACTTCAGACAAATGAGACAATGGAAAACAAATCACATTGAAGAATTTTTTTGTTGAATGTGTCATGCAGTTTTACTGTTTGTTCTTGGCATAATAACCGCTATGGCTATCACTAGCCGTCTTTTGGTCTTCATGATATTAAGTCTTATGTCATCAGCTGCCCTTGTCATTCACAATGGAGCCAAGGCATGCGAGGAAATTCGGCGTACATTTAACAGAAGTTATGAACGTTTCAAGTCTGCTTTTCACATACTCATTTTCAACTGTCTAACTTTCAAATCCTTGTAGATGCCATAAATTTCCCCTAATATAAGTTGGAAAGTTTTGTTATTGAGCATAGAGCCCAATTTGTATCTTTGTCCGGCGCCAATTGAGTCCACAATTTGACCCAATGGGACACCCAAGAGACGCGTTATGTGGGTGGCCCTGTGCCAGTACAGTTCCAATGTGCGCGATTCGGTTAAAATCGTTGGAGTAGACAGTGAATCGATACAGGTAAGAACTGTTTCACAATGCCAGTCGACTGCTTTCTTAATATCTTGAAAATCGAACAGCGGCAATAGAACTTCAAAACATTTGCTACTGCAAATAAGCTACCGCTATTACTATTGATAGAAAATAATTGACTGGAAAATTACTATAATGGCGAGTCCACTAGACTACTTTTCAGATTTAGACTTAACTAAACTACACGTGGAACTGCTGAATACTCTTGATCTGCCTTGTCGCATTCTTCACAATTATTGTCAAGTAAATTTCCACACTTGCCTTAGTGAGGTTGTCTTGAATTCTTATGGCCAACAAACATTTTGCTCTTTTAAAATTGAATTTAGTATTAATTTCATTAAGATATAATATCACTATTCTAGCAATTTACTTCGAATACTAATACCTACCTCTGTTCTACATTTTACTCTAGTTTCAGTAATATTCAAAACAGCAATATATGAGATTGGCACTAATTTTGATGTAAAAAAGAATATATTAACTAAATACCACCTGGAGTGCATTTGAAAGGCAATGGTTTTACATCTTCACTAATCCAAAAATCATCATCTGTCTCCTCAAGCCATTCGTGGATTGAAGGTGTATCATATCTTTCGAGGAAGCACAAAAAGCAAAGATGGAAATGAACAGAAAAGCAGGATCTGATTAGTGTAAAAATACATCAATCCAAGAGCTCAATCAAATAAGTATCTTTGAATGCGTCATCTCTACCTTTCGTAAACTGTGAGCCGATGAACTACAACTACGAAATTGATGTCACCACGGTCATAGCAAGAAAAAATAAGATGAAATCTCATGATGGGTCCTTCGTGATAAGCACTAAGCATGGCTGATAAACTTTGTACAATCCAGGGAACAAATTGTGGGGTTTACATTTTGAAACATTAATTGTCAATTTAGTAAATATTGTACAGGCGGAGTCCAAAATCGAACAAAGTAAAACTTTTTGACATCTTGACGTTGCTCACAGAATCTTCCCCTATCCACACCCATTTATCAATTGCTAAAAGTACTGTTTTTTCGTGATCATTTTCAACTAACAACAAAAATGGACTTTATGATGCTGACCAGTAGTTCCACTTTTATGAGAACATGGAAATTAAAGAGTTTCCTGGGTTATAGTACTGTTCGACTCGCAGTACTTCATATCTTGTTGTACGAAGAAAAGGCAGATGAATCGTTTTCATCGAAGCTTGGAAGGAAATGAAGATAACTATTACTTGGTGGAATATGATTTGATTTTAAAATTTCCTATTTGTGTACGTTTTTGAATTACTTATCAATTTCACCTATTTTGGTGTAAATTGAAGGTTTTCTACAACTTCATTCCTTTCCAATAAATTAATCTTCTATTAGCAGTTGATAATACGTTTCCTATTGTAATTTCATACCTCACGTTTAAGGAGCAACAATGAGAATAAGTGGAAACTGAGTTATGCACCCTTTAACCTTGTGACCCGTGTACATTACGAAGCCTCCAAGTTACCCAAACTTGTTATAATTTGCCTACCTCTCAAAATTTAAGCCTCTCCTAATATGGACATTCAGCCCTAGTTGGTGCTAATCAGTAACATTCACTTCATCGTGTGCCGGTGGTTTCTAATTTTTTTCTGTCCTCATCTTAGAATACTTATTTTTATCCGATTGATCACTTTTTTATTAGACTCACTTTAGAAGTCACTAGTGAGAGGGAGAGGAAAAGGCAACTGAAGGTAATGCTATTTGTCGTGATCGCCCAAATTAAGGAACGTAACGGATGTCACTGCTTGGCCTTAATTAATAATGCATTAAGGGTCTCCAAATAATAAGGATATCGCAATTATCGCCTTTTTCGCTTGAATAAAAGATGACATATCTTAACGAATACATATCCTGATTATCTTCTGAGTGATTGAACGGGACGCCAATTCTTCCACAAATCAACCATACTGTCGATTGAACTTCGCAGTGGAAGACACAAGAATAGAATACACTGACAACTATGTTTGCACTTGTTTACCAATTTCTCGTTAAGTGACTCAAACGATAATTAAAGGTGATGGGTGTTATTTCTGTCTAGTAACATTCTACGAAATATTTAGCACTTAGATATTGGCTTGACCCGTCTCTCAGTCGTTTGGAGTAGTCCTCCACGACTGTAATATTAAAATAATTTTTACTGCGCGATCTAGAGCCGATGTATTCTCTTTGGAAGCTTTTAGAATAGTATTAATATTGAATCTCTTTGATTTATTATGTCAGCTATCCTAATAATTTAGATCTTACAAATGGAGATTCATTTTTGGGATGTGAATATATTGACCATGGTCTTGCAATTCAACAAATTTGGCAAAATATTACGCAGGATACATACTAATAGAAGTGAGACAACGACAATATACACTTTACCATTGCCATCGACATTCCAATTTGGATGCAAATGGTGTTTTGACGGAAAATGCGATTCTATTATTTAGAACCTAATTACTTCCAATTCTGTGGATAAAATTAGTACTTCCCTTAGTTTTAAAACAAATGTAATATTTGAACTTCTAACAAGGATTACTCAACTAAATCAGTCAAAAGATTTTCGAATTCCACTTCAACGAATGCCTGAAGAGATCATTTTAGTTAGTCGTTGAAGATGACAACAAAGTGTCAATAAATTTATAAAATTGCATTCAAGACTGACATTTAAATTTCCTTCCAACTTCACAATTAATGTATTGAATATTCGAAGATGGACTTCCCTACGTTTAATTTAATTAACTCTTAAGGCGGTTCAACCAAAAGTGAATTTCGTCCCCTTTTCGGGTGTTTTTTGTGCGAAAATATTCTGCCTAAAGGTCCAAGCTTAAGAATTTGGGGAATTTTTACGCAGCTATTGGCTAACAGATTGAAATTGAAACACAACTTTAGCAATTGTGCCATTCCTAGCCCTACTTCAGCAGTTTTTTTAAATCAACTACTTACTCCCTACGTTCTGATATTTTAATAGCCTCATGGGCCGATATCGAAAGTCATATTAGAAAGTTAAAAATATATTAAAAATATAAAAGATCGCACTAGATACAGGTGGAGTTAAATATTTTCGAGATTTTATGTTCTATTATTCGATTAGCTAAATCTTAAAATTTGCGAAATTATATAGTAAGCAGTAGATCTCGCTTGATTTTAACTAGCAATGCGCCTTATTATAATTGAAACCATACACAATAACAAAGTCTTACCTTTCACAGTCACATGAACTTTTGAACTCAAAATGGATCCAAACTTATTCCACACGAGGCACTCGTAATTGGCATCATCGGAAGGGCTGACATTCTCGAAGTCAAGAGGTTGTTGAGCTAAAATGAATTCCGGTAAAGATTAAATAGTTGGGAAAAAAATACTTGCAAATAACAATTGTTAGATTTGCCAGAATCTCACTAATGCAATTGGCGCCATTTTAATTTATTATAACCATTTTAAACCGCAAAATTCTATATAATTCAATTAATCGAAAATTCGCCATGTATATTGTGCCATAAAAATGGTATATTCAAGTTTATATTCTAATGCGCTTTTTAATTTACATTCTCACAGCATAATCAGCATTGCATAAAGTTAATCGAAAGTGCATTCAATTATTTCTCAAGATTGATGCTTGAACACACTAAGTAATTGCACGTGGAGTGAATGTGATCAGGTTCAAACTCTTCTTATGCGTCAGTGTTCAGGACGCCCATGCGGTGGTAACATTGAGCGCGCGCGTGCGTGTGTGCACTTAGTTGTCAATGTTAGTGCAATTTATCAAAAGCTTCACCATGACACATTGATTAATTTGACTTCTCGAAAAAATGGCCTTCTACTTTTCTTAACGGGGAATACTATCCCCACCTTGTAATGACAAAAAATTTTATGAAGGAGGTAATTTTATAATAATAATAATAATAAGTGACTGAAGAGCATAAAGGGCTTAATTGAGGGAAATTGTAGGGAGGGTTGATCCGAAGGATTCGCGATTTTAGTTATTCTCCACATGTTCGACAAAAATGTGACATTATTTCATGGGAATTCAAGCAACCCTATAATTTGAATGCATTGGGTTTCAAGGAGTAGAGATGTGATTTTTGAGACTGGAACCGTTTCTCCAAACACTGCCTCTTTCCAACCATAAGATGCACCCCAATATCTCCACATCAAGTTAATCTCTGAATTTCACCATCGTAGAGCGGGAATACCCATTTTCGTATATTTCGAATGATCTTAATTGTCGTAATTACAACGGATTTCACTTATATCGTCATCACTAAAGCAAAGGATTTACTTTTGCAGCAATTTGACTGATATAAATTAAAGGCTCAACATTCGAGCTCTCAGTTCGAGTAATTGAATATTTCAGTCTGATTGAGGGAAGAACGTTCTGAGGAACATGTTACAAATGTTACGTCTGGGTTCTCAATGAGATCAGACAGTTTGCTGTACAAGGCCTTTCTCATTCTAGAGCGAAATATGCGTTGAAAAAATTAAGCAACTTTTTTGGCTGCAGTCAATTAAGTTTGGAACAGATTGTTATAGAAAAAAACAATTTTCCTGATGGGATGTCTGCTTAAATTATGCTGAGCAGAATTTCGGAAGCATATTTTTAGCTGAAACGAAGCTTAGAACTACTCTTGTCCATATACAATTCCAGAGAGTTCAAAGTTTGCTGAAATTGAGGCCTTCTGAATACGATTTCAAATATTTAGAAATCTCAGCTGGAATAGGTAGCGTTTCTTCCATACAAGTAAATCTGCATGCAGAAAACTCTTAATTGAACACTCTCTATGAATTGAATTGTTCTCTTTTAAATTAAATGTGGGTCAGATTAGCTGAAATGAAATGGCGCAGTCTCAAAAAGAATTAAATGAAAAAGTCGAATTAGAAAATTTAGTAGAAGAATGCAAACTCACCAATGTTTGAACCATCATATGAAGCATCGTAGCTATATCTACCTCTGTAGCCAAGAGCTTGAAGTCTTTGTTGATTGAATTTGATCGGAATTTCATTTTTCAACCAAATGAATTTCAAATCTGGTGTTCCTTCCGCCTCACATTGCAGCTGCAAGCGTTTGCCTGCATCCACTGACTGCGCTTGAGGGGGTCTCACGAATTTTGGGAATCCACTTGGAACATCTGAACAGAAAACACATGCCCGTGAACAAAGTTAACTGAAGAATTCAAGATTACCCTGGTGGTTCATTTTGTGCTCTACAGTAGCATGATTTGCCTTTCTACCTGCCCATATCCCCATATCTGTCGAGCGAACATACTGGCAAATGGAGGTGACGGAGTCCACCAGTTAACCAATCCAGTTTAAAATTTTGAGAAAACGAACTCATCGAGTAAATTTATCTTTGTAACTTTGAAATTTTGAAGACCCAGAAAGCGAATATTTCGGATCTTTCATTTTACGCCAGATAGGACTATTGGCTATTTCATATGTGAAATCGTAATTTTAACAGTTTGTGTTGATTATACCAATGAATGAAATACTAATGAACTTAAAAACTTTTAGATTAATGTAGATGGTAACGTGATCTAATTAACTAGAGAAATATGAATTAAATATTTATTTATTTATGGAATTTGTTTGTTTATTTCCAACCGATCTTATTTTTCATTTTAATCATACTCAATTATAGTCTTCTCAATTGAAAAAATAAAACTAAGTGATAAAAAACTTAATCCATTTCTTAAATTACGTAAACAATGCACTTTTGAGTGGGTTAATTCTACTGATAAAATAATAAAACATGTCAAATTAGATGTTCTGATGAGGTGTTTGCTTAAATGTAGACCTTTTCATCTTGAGAATAGCCACATTGTATAATATCTAAAAACCATTAATTTTTAGCGCTTAAATACTTGATAAGGATGGTCTTCTCATAGTTGACACATGATTTGACCTAAAAGGATACGAATTTATTAATAGATATTCTTCGAAGGTAACACTTAGTTAGTTCACGGAGGTATGGTTGATAATTCTTTATGAAGATAAGATGCACTCCTAATGAATGTTATGACTGAACTGGAGCTTTGATACCTGACAAGTGACAGTGTTAAAGGAATAGTGCGGTAGCTGAGAACCCCATTGGTAAACAAAATAATAAAGTTCCATTTTGACTTAGGTATGATTGACTTTTCCTTGCCAAACGTGTCACCTTGTCTGACTAAACATTAACTATTATAAAATGATAATACAATTTTGAATCAATAGCAAGTTCAATCACTATGGATAAAGGGCAGATTAATATATCAATATTGAAAACAATAAAGCTTACGATCAGAATATTTGTACACTTTTAACTCGGCCGAAGCTTTATCATTTCCAACGTGATTGCTGGCGAAGCATTCAACCTTGATACCATTCTGTCGTGTAGATACTTTGAACAATCTTAGTAGACTTCCACCACCTCCATCAAGTGGAATAACTTTTCCCGTTTCTCCCGAAAGTTTCCCGGATTGACCATCAAGAAGGAATTTGACAATTGGTTCTGGACTCCCTTCCACTCCACAAAAAAATAAAGCATCTTCTCCCTCCAAAACCGCCGCGTCTTGAGGAGGTTGATTTATTCTCGCTTGACCTTATGAAATGAGAGAGCAAACAGTATTGGTTGAATTTAACTTTTCAGCCTCGTTTTGTAAAGTCAACTTATAATCAGCAAACAGCTGGGCGAGAAATGCGGGTTTAAAATCCTGGCCTTTTGACTTGAAAACCTGCTATTTTTGATGGAGTTCAAAATTGAATTAATTAAATCATCGCTCAGCTCATAGGCCGTTGAAAGTGCGGCTTTTTTATACGTGAGTTAATTAACCCAGATGAGTATATTTTTTGAGGGTGTTGCGTCCAGCCTCACTTTAGAGGACAAATATATTTGCGCAATGTGTGTGGCCACTGACTATCACAAGCCATATGGCCTTAAAGCGACCACAATGACCCTATCAGAACCAGATTTATCTAATTTATTTCGAATTTATTGATTTTGAAATGGGAATAATGAAATATGAAGAAAATGCAAATGAAAGAAATTAAATTGTCATTTGGTTTAAAAATACGCAGATACGACGTAATCTGTAATATTATAAAAAAAATGTTCGAAATATCATTGAGTTCGCATTATTTTTTGTGCTTTCAAAAAGAAATATCATTAAATGTTGAAAGAATATTTTATGTTATTTACTTTCGGGAGATAATACAACTCTGCTAGGAACGCCAAAAAATGGCAACATTTTGCCAGCTAATATTGGCCAAATCTAACTTTGTAATGAGGTTATTTAAATGCATGGTAATTTAGCTCAAGGTCTCAAACTTCATTCTAAAGATCAAAGCTGGCGATTCTGTAAGAATTTTGTATACAACACGATTTTGTAGAGTCTCCCGTTTTTAAATTTATCACTTCACCTTCAAATATGTGTAGGTTAGTTTGTGAAGTAAAAAATTGACTTATTTTAAATAAACTGGCTGCTCTGAGCTGAGAAAATAGAAGAATAGCAATTTATTAAAATTGGTTTTCAATAAAATCTCAACTATTAGAAGACAACTTTCCCTCAAGTTGGCGATTAACCAACAAAAATGAACTTTCCACTGTAAAAGTATAAAATGGTGAACTCTCCCAATTGGCAAAAAAGATTAGACATATTCATGAATCCAGAATTCGATGATACTAATAAATTTGTCCTAATGTCTTTATTTCCTAACTTCTATCATCCCATATTCAAGCACATCTGATTTGGTTAGCTAATGGGAACAGCCTCTTTCATTTGCCAGTGTGTTCACGCAACAGATATGGCGATATGGGTGGCTAGAAATGTCAGTTTAATTTTTTTAAGTTCATAATTAGCCTCCATAATAATTTCGATTCATTCAATTGAATTCGTTCACGGACATGTGTTCTATGTTCTGCAAACCTGGTTTCTCGTGTAGGTTTACTAACTAATTTTGTGCTTGAAGATGTATTTCGAAACCACTGATAAAACACCCTTCCACCGCAAGACTAAAATGTAGATTTATTTTGGTAGGAAATTTAACAAGCCTTGATTAAAAAGGTAACTTAATTTATATTGAGGGGCCTCGGAGAAGTGGTTTCGAGTTTTAAATCGACACACTGTATTTACCACTGTTAGTTCCGATTTCTTTGCGTTATTTTTTAAAATATTCATGTTAATATTTCTTCGCTTTTTCAATATATCTGAACTCTTATGGTTAGCAATAAGCAGGTGCTTCATTTCGTATAGGCACCTTTATCGGGAAATAAGGCGATACATTTTCTTAATTAAAAAGTATATAAATATATTCATATTCAAATACATATGATCCGGGAAAATTGAATGTAATAGGGCTTAATTTAATTAAACCCATAAATTTGCTGGCCCCGAGGGTAGCGAAGTGACTTGCAAATAAATAAATAAATACATATCAGTATTATTTATATTCCACTGCTTCGACCACAACTTGGTGTTTGTCTCGCAGTTAACCCGGAGTGCTGCTCAAAAACGAGCTAACTAAAGCAAACACGCAATGCAAACAAAATATGATGGAGAAAAAAGAGGATGTGGAGGAGTATGCGCGCACGAGGGAGATGGAGGGAGATGGAGGTGGAGAGTAAATATGTGCTGTTAACTGGTTTCTCCTGTTCACTGCTTAAGGTTCATTGATTAGCATACAACCCGCTTGAAGAAGTGCGTTTAGAGGTTAAAAAGGCTCTTGTCAAAATGCATTATTGCCTTAGAACTTCATTTTTGCCTATTAAGTATTCCTATTGGTATACTGGGATTGAGATCCATTCAATTAGAATAAGCCAATTTCGTCCTAGTTTCAGAAGCATCAGGTAGTAAGGTTGACTGAAGTCGTCTTCATAGGAGCTTCCCAGCTTCCCAACATGAAAAGTGCTCCAAAAGTCGTGTGCTTACAACTAATCGATCAATTCGGCACTTCTCAAGAATCTTACGACTGCATTTCAAATTTCGGGAAAATAAAATATGGATTTTCATTTTATTATTATTATTATTATTTAAATAGTATCAATTAACTCATTTGTAGTAAAGAGCGTTGCACGATATGGAAACCAAGGTGCCATAAGATTTTTAAGAGAAAGAACAGCGTCTCTCTAAATGCCACTTCATTCGACAGATTATGCTGGATAGTTTCCTCAATAGCTTATCGCAACGAAAAACATCACTTAAATAAAATTGAAAATTTGTAATTATTCGATGATATCCCAACTGAGCATTGTTTCAGTACAATTTGACTCCACAATAGCTGTCGAAATTATCGAATATTATTGGATAAGAACCATCCAAATGATTTTGACAATTAGTATGCGCCTTGAATATTTATTTTAACCTCGAGAAAATTATCAAAGTTTTTTTATAGCAATGGCAATAATTTTGGATTTCGACGTAGTAGTAGTGATTTAAAGAGATTTAAAGTGTCAGATTCAAACAAGAAGTTACCAATTTATAAATTTAGCATGAACCAGAATTAGCCGGATCGGGGTACCTAATGGAATATTTATTTCCGTTCTTTGATCACATGCATAAATGAGTAAGACAATTTATTACACATGGAGCGTGCTAATTAAACCGTGAAACCATGTATTAAATATAAAATATAAGATACTAAAAATTTTTACAGAATTATAATAACGAATTTCACATAACTTATGAGCCATCTTTAAGGTACTTTAATATCAAATCAGATTTTCAGCAATTGAAATATCGATAGGTTAACCGATCCTTCATTTCTTTCATCAATTTAACACTTTATTTGATTAATAGAAACATGAATCGTTATACTCGGAATTATAACCAGTTGAACAATCTGAATAAGTGTTGAACGAAGAAGAAAAAACTCGAGACTTCATTTTGACTGAGCACTTGTGAGTTCCGCTATGATTACAGCTTCATGGTCGAATTATTTAAATTTACATAACGGATTATTCATATTGGATTAAATACCCAACGGTCAATTCATATTTTGGACATGAATATGCCTTGAATAAAAGAAATAAAGACACGACATTTGAGTTCAATTTAGTTGTTTGGATATTATAATGTGAGTCATTCAAGATTTTTGACACGCTAACTTGTCTCCATTCTTCTATTTCCCTCTAATTCATTCTTGATTGGACCATTTTGGCTTTCATTCGTCTTCATTTGTTATTTTACGATAAAACGGCTATAGATCGCGTAAAGAATTCTGGAGTTCAGTTATGTTTTGTGTCATAGAGGTTTATTTTTGACCGAATTTGACTAGCAATTTGTTGAGAATCAAATAGACATTTTTCCTAAGTACCTTTGATAGGGTGATTTGAACGTTTTAATTTAGCCTTCAGACCGTAAGGTAGATAGTACAGTGCTTTTATAAGTAAGACGCGCTACTGTCTTACAGAATTGAAAGAGTCAGCTTAATGAATACTTGACAGTTTAATGGAAAGGAAGCTGCAGTAGTTGGAGTTTATTTAAACAAACCCCTAATGTGTCAGCAATACTGTGGACCACGTGAGATGTTAGTAAAGGTGAAGATTTGGGCGTGCTTATATATATACTTATCTGTCCTGGAAACTGTCGGCAGCAGTTCTGATAATTATTTAAGACAGCAAAATTTAACTACACTTTAAATTTACTACAGCAGACTAGGAAATGTTAGACAGCCAATCACAGGAACACATAATGTACCTGGCTTCATTTAAATAGCAAATGAAAATCCATGCAATTGAAGAATTAGCTTTAAACGTTTTATTTTCCAGTTCATTCTTTCACTGGAATTTCTGTCATTTTATAAGTAAGTATAAATAACTAAATAAATAAGCGAGTTTAATCTATGATGGACATAATCCTACCTATAAAATTTAAGGTTAAATATTAAAATAAGAATAAATTTGACGTTGACCATTTGCTTACGGGCAACACCTTATTTCAAAATTCTAACTTAAATAAGATTCTGGATATCCTAATTTAATTAATTAATTAATTTTATCAGTCTTCTACCTCCTCCTCCTCCTCCTTCTCCTCCTCCACTCCCGTTCATAGAGCATTGTTTTACTTTTTCTCATTTTTAGGTCAATAACGCTTTATAATTGTGCCAGAGATTGTTAAGACGAAATAACCGTGATTCATAGAAGGCTTAGCTTTAGAAAATACAATAAAATAAATTAAAAATTTCATTTTTAAATATGATCGGTTCTAAAACGGAATGGTTTTAACTTCGAATCATAATAATATAATAATAATGTAACAATGTTTTACTTACTAGTATTATTTAAATAGGACTTGAGAACCTCGAGGTTGAACCACTGGGCGTTGGCATGATATTCGAAAAATCCAAATTGAAAGATAATACTAACTAGGATCAAATTTACACTCATATCATCAATTTCACTGGTAGATCGTTTCCATCTCACTGGTTTATATTACACTTATTTTAATAATATGGAAGTAGAAATCGCAAAAGAAACACGCCTTCCCAAGACTCATTCGCTCCTACACCGGGATTATGCCGATGGTTGGAACGCATAACCAGTCAAATTGATTGGCCAATCATTTTTAAGTACTGCTTTCTCATTTGACTTAATTTGGGAAATATTTAATGCTGTCGCGGTCGGACTTGCTGCTATTTGCATGGTATGTCTGATATATTTCTCTTATTTAAAGCTATATATTTAAAGTTCCCAATTATAATTAGGTTTAAATAAAAAGATTTATGTTGTAGATTCTGAAATTTATTTTATGCCAATTTCTCGTCTTTAACCCATCAATATTAAGGTAGAGAATAAAAAACCGGTGTTTTAAGTATAGGTTGGTAGTTTTTCCATGACTGAGTAAATTTGTTTCCGTTTCAAATAGTAATTGCATATATCCCTGAAATATTTTCCTTGTATTAATCATTCAACTTCAGCTTTAATTAACTTCTCACAAACTTGAGTCAGAAGACACCAGACCCAAACCGTTATACAAATAAGTCAAAATAACCGTATTTTCACCCCCCAGAGGAACTTCTACATTGCCAGCATTTAGGATATAAATAGACTAAAAACAAATAATCCCTTGAAAACACCGTAGTTGAATTCAATTTTTCCAGTCGAAATTATTAGTATCTATCACTTAATATCCGTCCACAGACGTTAGAGATTATTTAAACTACACCGAGCAAGTGTTCCAAGTTTATTTCAATATTTTAATAGTTTCGTAGCAACTAATTAAAATTAAAAAATATCATAGTAGTCATTATGAATATCTTCTTTAATCATTTTCGTTTGTTTAGCAGGAGAATTTGGGCTTTTTCCATTTTCAGAAATATCTTGGGGAGACTAGCGATCTAGTCCTTGAATAGTTTGATAATTTTTATGCAATGGCAATCGTATTGTTGATAACGCCACCTACTTATTCTTTTCTGTAAAAGGACAATAAATAAATCCAATCGCAAATGTAAGTCAAACAGATATTGGTCTCTGCACATGGTGGAAATGTATCTGAGAATCTTGTACAAATTCCAATCAATGCATAGCTGCTTATCTCGGCAGACTTCGATTTTTACCGCCAGTTCCTTCCCTGTCAAATTTTATTGCAAATTTAACCAAATAGAGGTCGCATGATCACAATATGTTGTGGCATGCGATGGTGTCTAGAGTGAGGTTTGAACGAATGGTATTAAACTGGATCTTCCATACTTTCTACTTAAATGCGAAAAGTAGAAGGTTCATTATCAAAATAGAGACCGTCCATTCGCAAAGTGAATAACTATAAAATAATGAGTAGCACTATAAAGTTTAGTTGAATTAAACCACATTTCAAATAATTGCGTAAAATATATTAATGAAATCTACTTTACAAGTAATTACAAAGTGGAATACTAAAAATGCACTAATAGACAATGGACATTATTACCAATGAGATTAAATAATTTTATTCACTAAACACCGCAACTTAAATCTCTACAGTATTTTGCAAATTTTTTTATCACAACTAATTAAATAATAACCTTTTGTTGGTTAGGTTTGCCATCATTATTTTATTAAAGAGTTTGTCCAACGAAATTCGTGCACAGGGACGATTTTCTTGAAATTAATCCGTTACTAGCTTCTTAAAATTATAAATATATCTATATTAGTCAATTATTCTTTTAAAACTTCAATAGAGGGTTTCATTTAAATTGTCCTTAAGCTGGCTTTTGCGCGAGTATCAGTAGCGCAGGCTTTCTCTGTGAATCGATTTTGTGAACATTTATTAAATTTCTCTAAGTCACTTCCTAAAATCTTTCGTAAAAATATCTCTATTTGTCTTTAGGCGCAGGCTGAGCAGTCCACAGCGATGGGGAATTTATTGTCAGAATGAGATGAAACAAAAATGTGTTTTGGTCTTGGAACTCCACGGTTCGATGGTCAATGCACGAAGGCAGTGGAACCGGAAATTTGCATCGGTGAGAAATATAGCAATTTCTTCCAAGTTTCCTTTGGTAATAAGCTCCCTCTAATCTTAAACTGCTTAAATTTTTGAAAAAAATATTTTTTTTGGAAATCAATTTCATATCCTAATGCGATTTGACCATGCATTCTGCTTTGCGTTTCATTTTATTATTTGACTTTAAGTGTGCAAATAAGATGCATGGATATGATTTGTGATAAACGTCTGATTAAATAGACGTTTTTATATTTTTTGTAAAAAAATTATCAAGGTGTAGATATAGTCGACTTAACAACTATGCAAGCTTTTGTTCTTTATTTCTGATAACTATCTATTGAAAAATTGGGTTTTTCTTGCTTACCAATAAAATTTCCACTAGTGCGATTCCATTTAGCTTTAAAAGTGCAAAATTATAAGATTTCGTTCTGATAATTTGAAACTCTTGGCAAATACTAAGAGGGTACATTTTCTTTAAGTGAGCAACGTGAAACGAAAGTTATTCAGTGAATTTTCATCAATGTATTTTCATGATTCAACTTAACAGATGAATGGAGGGCAAATGGTTCTCTCTCCGCAGAATAGCGGCCGTAAAATCAGTCATAAAAAGTTGAAAATTGTTGTGTGAATATTTATTTTGGTCGCTTGAGGCTAGCTGAGTCTCACAAACTCCTTCACTAACAGAAGAAACGCTGCTAGTGTTGATGCATAATTTAAAGCGCTTTTAATCAGATCTGCCTAACACTAGCGAGCACAGATTTGCTTAAGTCCCAATTTTTCCTCCGAAATACTTATTTATTTAAATTCTAATGGCTTCTTGAATAAAATGTAGATTTGTATCCAAAAATTCCATGTTTATAAACTTCACCCACTGCATGCAAATTACATTTAATTATTTCCACATAGTGATTATTTTTTCAAATGGACTAGTCGCAGTGAGTAATGTGACATTTAGAAGTAAAGACTTCAGGGCCATTTGTGTCAATTCTTAAAAATTAAATATCCATACTTTACTTTTTAGGTTATAAATCTTAAAGTATTTTTTTTAGAATTTAGTAAGAAAATGACAATTGACAGATGATACATCATTCCTTCTAACTCAAGAGATGTCTGCATTAATTTAATTTTAGCATCTTTACATTTCAGAAATTATAGAAAAAAGTCACTTGAAATTTTAAATACCAGAAAGATATTCAAAATTTTGCTAAAGCTGTTTTAGTTAAAATTAGCGCAAAGATGTAAGCTACTAGAATATTATTTTTAAACCATCTACGACGTCTAGACACCTTCATTTTGGATTGAACCTTTCTCCATCTTTTTCAGGATTATCGCTGCAACTACTACTATTATTTGTGATGACGCGCTTTATTCAAAAGGTTCCCATTAGATCTTCTGGACCCTGAGTACGTACCAGGTCATAAATTTAGCCAATTGGTGGGAACCCACCCAGTTATCCAGGAGTCAAATACTGAATTTATAACTTTACCAAAGTTGTCCTGACCTCCACTCTTGTGCAATCAAGAAGACGTTATAACTGGTGGGAGGAAGTCCAATACAAGTGAAATTCATTTCATGGACAGGTTCGTCCAATACTTCTAGTCAAATACATTCTCTGTAGGTCATATTCACTAATTGGACTCTCACCATGGTCATGCACCTTATCTTTGCTAGGAACCACATTGAATACATTAAATTGGATGCATAAATGCAAAATTTTGAAACTCACTATTTTTCCGAGTCATTGAATTCTTCTCCAAAATCCAATTAGACGGAGCGTTGCGGGAGTAGAATCCTTGGCCCGGCTGCTGACCACTGACGGAGAAGAGAAGGCAAAATACGACTGGCACAATCATTTTTGTTCTCGACTGGGGACTTTTAACTTAAAAAAGAAAAGATTTTCAAAGTTTTTTTCAAAACCTAATTATCCTAATTAGCAAGAAATCGTGAAATATGGCATGGGTATTTTTTTGAATTTATCAAACTCAACTCGAGCATTTTTAAACTGTTTCTTTCGTCTTTATAAACGTCATCATCAACCTTTACAGTTTTAACCAATGAAAACATCAGTTGATATTTCCTGGATATCACCCCCTTAATGTGTTAAATATTAAATACTAATCGTTTCAAGTTCACGTTAAGAAACCCATTCTTTGGCTATTATGGGGCCATTTTTTTAGTAAATATATCTTAATTATAACAAACTATGCAAAAATGATATGAAAATCGTAAGAGTTTAAAAGGCCTTATTAGAATATATTTTCTTGCAGGTTCACATTCAATGAATCCATTAAAACAAATAGTAATATCTTTGCGAAAATTAAAAATTTTAGTATCGATTATTACAAGAAAACAAAATAAATACTAATTAATATTGTGTCTAGAAAATTTACGACAAAATGGTAAAATTAGCTGAAGTTGAGTTTTAATTCCTTTGAAGCTGTTAGCAATCAAACTAGAAAATTGTTTCCAAATATGCAAATGCCTTGCAGACATCTTATTGTAAAAGTTACACACAAACGCATAAGTAATCGATTGAAATGTTTCAATTAAATTTGGCAAAAACTCATTTGGCATATTTATAATATCTTATTTCAATCACCAATTGCCAAAAAGAATTTTCTTCATTCCAACATTCTTCATTTCCTTTCTCGTGTCTTACCGCATCACCTGATTTCTCTTTGGTAAAATCGCGACTTGGCTCAAAACATTACATGTCACGTAGTTCAAGTATATTTCGTGCTGTCAATTTAAACAAATATTACTTTTTCAACATTTTCAAGTATTGTGTAAAAAGCTCCACGACAAACCATTTTTTTAATTGAACCCTTCAGTATACTTGGAATTATTATTGAACTCATTGATTTGCAATTAAATTAGTGGTATTAGAAAAACGTTTTCTCCATTTGCACCAACAAATATATCAAATTACTCTCACTTTAATTGGAAGAATTTAATTGATCAATCTGAAATATCACGGGCAAGTAGTGTTGAATAGGACAAACTGTCATTAGTTTTCAGATTTTTTTGAATCAAAGTTTTGGATTTATTGAATATTAAGTACAACATACTGATATTTAAACTGATAACCCCCATATCTGTAATGGAATGTTAATGATTTATGACTTGAAAATTAAGCAGAATTTATTGAAATTTGAATTAAAAATTAATTTTGGCAAAATACATTTCTATGAGTCAAAGGAGTGAAAATAAAACATTTTTGGTGTCCTTTGTAATTAAAGCAGTAAATTGTGTAGTTATTGTCTGATTTTCTCAACCACTAAGATTTCAGCATTCGGTTGGGCTTACCATTCGGTTTTTTACTGAATATATTCTTCATTTTAATCAAATATAAATATTGGGGAAGAAAAGCTTATGAAAGCATGTAGCCCCTTTCTTGTATGCAAAATATTTCTTGAATTAAAATTCAACTGGTCAACGTTAAGTCAAAAAATTTTATTTCATTTTGTTTAAAACGTTGCTTCCTTTTATCTTATTTCAATAGTTGGATCTAAACTTTAAATGGTTTCAACTTTGAAAAGTTTATTTAAAGCTTAAGAGTGGAATTTCGCCAAATCTATATCATTAACATTCAAGTTAGCTGATCACCATATATTGAAAATTATTAACAGGTATTGATGATATTACTTCCGGATAATTTACGTCCAATTCATCATTAAGATTTTTTAAAAGAAATTCAAAATTTCATGCGTCTAAGGATATAATTTTAATTTCTTCTTTTACTCATTCGATTAATAACAAGAGCAAATATAATTAAAGGCCTTTAAACCTCATTAAAAATAAAACCATTTGTATTGGATCATATTTTTGGTGCATTTACTACCTGTATTTGAAAACCTCAAACTAGATGCTGAACATTTTATTCAACGCGGAATTTATATGAAGAAAATGTCTTGTCAATTAAAGTTTGTTGCGTATTTCTCTACTCTTCCTCCGTTCCTGATCTTCAGTTATTCGATCTCGCTCAAAATTTTTCTATCCTTGCTATCGAGAGGTTCATATTAGTTAAAACTGCGCTTCAAAGCTTAATGCACGAATAAAGCATTTATGCCTAACTACAATCAGAAAGTTTAAATAGATTCTTTTACGTAAATAGAATTTGTAAAGAGTTCCTTGCAATTATGAGAAAAAACGATAACAACAAAAATGTCAGTAATTTAGTGTAGATCGCGTATATACTTTCACATTATTGGCTAATCTGTGTCGCAACTTACGAAACATGTAAAGAATTTTTGAGTATTAAAACATTGAGCAGCCAGTCAACTAAGCATGCTTAATAAAATATGCACTGTTTTAATGAAAATTTAAATAGGATAAAGACTCATTAAGTACAATTGAAAATAATTCATGGGCCTTTGGTTAGGTATTTCATCTAATGAAACGGAAAGGTAAATTTTATCAATTATATCCACGCCGTTTTCTTAAACTTTTAGAAATACGCTAATTATATCAAAAGAGCATTATTTCTCAGTAATTTAGAAATTGTTCTTCATACTTCAAGCTGACTAAAAGTATTCCTAACTAAAGCTATTAAATTAATAAAAAATATTTTTTCATTAAAAAATTGAACTGTTGAGGCACAAAATTTCTAATTTTTCTCTAATTTTTCATTAGCGAACTAGCTTCTATTTTGTTGTTCTCTCATAATTTATTTTAATTTACCCTAGAACACCAGGGTGAGCAGTACTATCTCTTAGGTGCGGAAAAAATTTGTTGGAAAATAGATGCATCGAAATTATAAGGTGATTTGTATTATTGCAAAAAATTACACTTTTATGGAACTTTATAATATTTTGATACTTTTAGCGTTGCTTTTTTAAATTTGGAATTATGTTTCATAAAACGGCATTTTCCAATAAGTAAATGTGCAATTTGAGTACGATTTAAATTAATTTTTAGATTAGGGTTTAGTTAAATTATTTCGATTATAATTATCAGTCTGTGCGATTAATCAATCAAGGTTTTGAAAGAAATCGATTCTCCTGCCTATCAGTCAAAATGGTTGGGTCTCTAAAAGGACGCATTACTAATAATTGGCTCCATAATATTATTTGGTAAATCAAAGATTTGGAAAAGTTTCCACTATTTATCGAGTTTAACCTCTCTCTCTTCTAATTAATCGACAAACAACTTACACTTCCCTCTCTCCTCATAAGCATATGCAATTTTGATTTTGCTTTTTAATTAATGCAAATGCTGAAGCTAGCGCTTAGTATTTTGTCTTAGAAAAGTTTTGGCTAATTTAAATCATTAGTCTCAAAATGAAAACTTTGGTCCTATCAAACCAACTCAATTAATGACTATACAACGTTTCTAGCGGTGTGTGTTTTTCATGAAGTAATTGCATGTAAAAAAACTGCAATAAACTATCCCTATCTAATTTACATCTCCTTGTCAACTGTCTCGCTGACGGTTACCATTCCAAGCAGCGAAGTATCTTTGCAGCTTGACGAGAAGCACTCGTAAATCACTGTTCACACGCAGTCCTTCACATCGCTATTTCTACTTTTCAACGTGATGCAATGTTAATCATATTTCCTTAGTACTTAATGTGTTTGTGTGGGAAATAGCCAGCACTCCACTTGCCACTTAATACCTGAAATGCATCGACCACTTCAACTCCAGGGTTAGAAGTCACTGATTTACGGCATATTTACAGCTCACTAATTCAGTTGCTATAACTCCGGAAATCAAACGGTTGGTTTATTAGATCGTGCAAATTGATGTGCTCAGCATAAAGTAATTTTACACAGATCCATTCTTCATGATTTCCTTGGAATTTAGAGTGCCTTGTAGACATGTACTTTGATAGCATTTTCAATGAAACAGGAACAAAGAATTTCAAACACACCCGATTTCATCTTTTTTTTATTCCCAAACCCTGAATTACTTTTTTCCTTATTAAATGAATTAGGTGTAAAGAAGAAGGAAAATTGAATTGTTAATAAAAACTAGGTTTTCCACTTTATTTTATACTGAATTTAATTAGAAATGAATTAATTTTCGAAATAAATTAATCACGAATGAAATTTTGTTTTTCAATACCATATATGGAAAAATGGGAAATAATACACAACTTTTCCTTAAATTAGAAACAAAATAGGCAAGGTTTACATGGGTTTAAAACAACAGGAGCGATTACATTTTTTTAATCTGCCAAAAAGCGAAAACCTACTTCCTGTCAACCACCAAAATCAAACATGGCTGCTCACTGCTCTAGAAAATGAGGCATTTTATGATACTTTAAATCTGGTAATTTTGCACACTTAAACTTACGATGAATTAAATTAACCACTTCTAAGGCAACGTTAGAGGTTTTTTCCATCGGCTAATCGATATATAAAATTGACGAATGAATCGAATCAGAATGTAATGTTGGCAGCTACCCAAAAAATCGAGGAATTAATGCATAAAAGATAAACTTTTGGAACATATGCTGCACATTAAGTACATTTTTGTGATCTTTTAGAAATATATGCTCTTCGCAGGAAATTATATTACGAAAAATGGATCTACATGTCAGTAATAGTATCTAAACATTTTGACAAATGACAGTTGTAAAGAGTGCACATCTTAGTTGAATTTGGCCTCTAAACAACACAGTTTCCTGCATTCAAAGGATTCTTTCTCACTTTAAGAAATATGAACGATTATTTAACCATTTTACCCGAAATTAATGGTTTCTTCAGTATCTTGGTAAAATAGATACACTATAACATGTTAGACGAAATTTAACAATGCTGAAAATTAAAACCGTTTAATTTAATGATTTATTTTATGAGAAAAACATAATTTTTTATATTCATTGGGGACTTTTGCAATACTCTGTGTCGTT